AAGTTTAAACAAGACAAGGACAAGAAAACTACAGAAACATATCTGAATGAGGAAGACCATGAGCCCAAGGTCATAATGGTGTCCAAGGGTTTGCTGAGATACATAGCTTTAAAAAAGACATGGGAGGTCAGAGAGAACTGTGACAAAACATGGTTGCAGTAGATCATTGCATCCTAGTTACCAGTGGAACTCCAAAAGTAGTCATGATTGGGACATTTCATAAAACAGAGGAGCTTATAATACTGGTCCATGGAGTTGCCAGAGGCAGTCAAGGCTTGACTCAAGGACCCCTAGTTAGGCGATCTCCATCAAGAACACACTCAGGGCCCTAACTGTACCGCCTGAGGTGACCTGCAAAAATGGTTTGCTACTCACTTGACCCAATAATTCCTACAAAATCCTGAAAATCAAGAGGGTCGAATCTCCGGGTCCACTTCAAGAACACCCGTGAAACAACTCAGGCCATCAAAGGCATGCATATCCGGAAAGCCACCAAATACTTGAAAGATGTCACTCTGCAGAAGCAGTGTGTGCCCTTCCGGCGTTACAATGGTGGCACTGGCAGGTGCGCCCAGGCCAAACAGTGGGGTTGGACCCAGGGTCGGCGGCCCCCAAAGAGTGCTGCATCTTTTTTGCACGTGCTTACAACTGCAGCGACTAGTGCTGAACTTTAGGGTTTAGATGTGGAGTCTCTGGTCCTTGAGCACATCCAGGTGAACAAAGGCCGCAGGAAGCACCGCCGGACCTACAGAGCTCACGGTCGGATCAATCCACACATGAGCTCCCCCTGCCACATGGACAGATATTGTTCCCAAACCAGAAGACAAAGATCTCCCAGAAGAAACTGAAGAAGTGAAAACTCAAGGCTCAGGAATAAATTAAGCTTAAAATAATAAAAGTTAAAAAAAAACACCAAAAAACACACACTCAGGTTAAGTCCTTAAGGTAAAATCCTGTGGGTGGAAGGCAGGGTAGAAAGGGGAAATTAATTCACTTTCCAAAGAACTGTCTGGGGGCAAGGTTATTCACATCCCTGATCAAGGGTTAGAAGGAATTCGATGGACGCTTAATCCACATGGGATTTTTGCTTTTGCTGTTATAAGTAGCCTTATGCAAATCAAGTGCTCAGAATTTAAGCCCTAAATACAATCCCTTCCTCTGATCATGGATTTTATTAATGTTTCTTGAGTCATATAGACGGGTGTGCTCCTTCTGTGTAGACTTAGCTAACACCAATAAATGTTTTGTTATCATTAACCATAATCAAACTCTTTGGATCCCAGGGCTGGAAAAGAATTTAATTCCATAAAGAATCCATTCTAAAAAGGTGCTCTAGTGGTGCAATAACCAAAAAGGTCAGTGACGAGAAGCCACCAACCACTCCCTGGGAAGAAGATAAGGCAGTCTGCTTCTGCAAAGACTTACAGTTTCAGACAACGAAGAGAGCAGTTCTACGTTGTCCTAGAGCAGTGGTTCTCAACCTGGGGGTCGAACGAGCCTTTCACAGGGTCGCCCGATTCATAAGAGTAGCAAAATTACAGTGATGAAGTAGCAATGAAAATAATTTATGGTTAGGGGAGTCACCACAACATGAGAAACTATATTAAAGGGTCACGGCATTAGAAAGGTTGAGAACCACTGTCTTGTAGGGTTGCTGTAAATCAGAATGACTTGATAGCAGTGGGTTAGTTTATTCTAAAACAGAACTATGACACCAACCCTGAGTTTATTATATCGTCTTAACATTCTCTACCTTTTCCAGAATGTACTTCTGAGATTCAACTTCTGTGGGAAACAGAAAGGTTATTCCCCAGGTTGTCCCCCCAAATTATATGCCAAACCTAAGGTGCTGCTTGCTAACACATGGTCAATGACTATGCACTCAGTTGTACACCCCTAGCTCATCCCCCTCCTGTTGCACATGTGCCTATGGTACAACTCGTTCCTGTTATGCATGTGGCTTACCTGTAATTAGGGAGGCCCGCACACCCCGAGTGTATATAAGCCTTGACTGGAAATATATTTGCTCTCTGCGCAAGATCATGGCCGTCCCAGAGGTGAGCGCTTGCATGCTTTATCTTGTCTGATGTCTCTTTAATTTTATCCCTCAATTACACAACCGCCTCTTGAACCTGTTCAATTGTGGGGACTGGTACCCCACAAACTCCTCAGAACCTACAATGTACTCACCTGGTCATTCAGCCAATTCTGACCATCCAGGGTCACCAGATCATCCATGTCTAGCATGTGCTTGTTGTAGAAAATTCGAAAGTTGCACTTTTGATGTCTGGCTCGATAGTTTGTTATCTCCCTATTAATAAATGGTTTTCTGGAAAAAAAAAATTTTTTTTAGAAGAAATGGTGAAAAAAAATCTAAAGTTCTACTTGATTTATTGCTCAGTGACTTGTTTTACCAAGAGAAAAATCATATATGCCAGCAATCTTATTTTCAGATATTTAAACTTATCATGACAAACCTATTAGAAAAATCTTCATTAAAGACATCTTTTAGTCGCCCAAGAACATCTTTTTCACTGAGTGGGACCAAACTGCCATACTTCTTCATAATTTCATCTAGGAATCCTTAAAAATAAATTAAGAAAGAAAAATTAAGATGGAAAAACAATGTGTTTTTCTCTTTTAAAAAAAAATTATTTAAACAATGTATTTTTCAGCAGTTATTCTCCCAACATTTGATCTATATGTATAACAATGTACATTTAACCTATATTACAGTATTATCTATTAAGAAATATTTTCAGTTATGTCTTCTACAGAAAAATTAATTAGGCCTTCACCATTCCAATGTACAGAGAAATGCTGTGAGGTACCACTTCACACTGGACTTTTAAGCTACGGGCATCATTAGAGAGGGAATGCATAGCTACAAAGAGCTTAACTTGGAGAAAATGCCTCCTATCTCCTTAGGAGCGAAATCTAAAGGGTTCATCATGCAACTATTTAGTCTCTTTCTGTCTGCGGCAAAGAAATGTGAAGAATATCAAAGAGGCATGGAAACAATTCGTTCAAAAGACTCATGGGCCATGCACACCTCAACATCCACTACTCTGAGATCAGAACTAGATGGTGCCCAGCTACCACTACCAACCATTTTGGTTGTGGTCCTGCAGAGAGTAGAAGAAAAATGTTTAAAAATAGGTTTGTTGGTCTGAGACCCCCAAGACTATAGCCTTTAGACATCTTTCAAGCCTGGAATTGAACTCATCCAAATGGATCAATTCTCAGGCTGGCTTATAAAGTAAACAACAGCACCAATGAGGTACATCCTCCTTACAACAATCAAGGAGACCATAAGGGGCACTTGCCCAGGGGCAAAACCCTGAGGGCAGAAAGACTGAATGAAAACAGAAAATACAGGGAGAACATGGGGAACGAGCTATTAAACTGTGAGGATTGTAATAAAGGCCATGAAACAAAATGTGTGTGAATTGTTGAATGGAAAGCTGATTTACTCTCTAAATTTTCATCCAAACCACAGAAAGTTAAAATAAGTGGCTTAGTGACCTAGTTAAAATACATGTATCATTTTGGTAAGTGGACTCTACTTTAAAAATCACCATTCTAGAAGGGGAGAGAGTTACTCTCCAGACCAGCAGTTCTCAGCCTATGGGTCGCAACCCCTTTGGGGGTCAAATGACCCTTTCACAGGGGTCGTCCGATTCCTAACAGTAGCAAAATGATAGTTATGTAGTAGCAAAGAAAATAATTTTACGGTTGGGGGTCACCACAACATGAGGAACTGTATTAAAGGGTCGCGACATTAGGAAGGTTGAGAACCACTGCTCTGGGCAGTAGAAACTTGTTATTTGGGGTGATAGGAAAGGCAATACAGAATGTAGATTAAGTGTGTAAAACTTAACCAAGGTAAATGATGGCAATAAAAAATACAATAAAGGGATTTACTGTAAGTATTATAGCATATATAATTTGGCAAGAGTTCGAACAATAAAAATACATGGTTACAAAGCTAAGTGTACATATAGCAGTGCATTTGTAAGTATGTACACATATGTAAATGTCTGTGTATACATATATGTATAATAATACTTACGGGGCACAGTCATAACCTCCTAGAAATAAGTAAACACTCTAAGATTGGAATACTGGGTTTGAAGGCTTGGGATCAGAGTTTCATGGGACAACTAGGTCAACTAGTGTTGTAGTTTCTGGGGTCTTATAAGCTTACAAATGGGGCTTAAGTTAAAAGCAAATGTTTTGAGAAAGATGAGGGCAACGAATGTACAAATGTGCTTTACACACTTGATGTATGTATGGATTGTGATAAGAGTTGTATGAGCCCCTAATAAAATGATTAAAAATAAATAAATAAAACAAAATCAATGTCATGAAACAAATGTGTATAAAATGTTGAATGGAAAACTGATCTGCTCTGTAAATCTTTACCCAATTCACAATAGAAAGGTTTTTTAAATTAAAAAAAAAAAGCTTACAAATGATCATCAAAGACTTAACTATTGGTCTGTACTCGAGTAAACGAGGAAGAAGGAAATCAGACTCAAAGAAGAAACTGCTCTATAGACTAAGAGCCCACATGAACCACAGTCTCATCTCTCCTGAGTCCGCAGAACTAGGTGGTACCTCACTACCACTACTGATTGTTTTGACTGATGACACAGTAGATGGTCCTGGGTTGAATGGGGGAAAAAATGTAGAAAACTCTCATTTTTTTGGTCAGACTTTAAAACTAGTAAATACTTGAGGATCCCGGATATGCCCTGTAGACTGTGAACTGAAACTGCTCCCAGAGTCATTAAATTGAAAATATAATCTGTGGGCACTATGCTCCTTAAAAGAAACCAAACCAAACCAACCATGAGACCAATTGGTCCACATTTGTAAATCTTGTATCCCCTCCACCCTTGGATCCCAATGTGTGCTATGAGCAGTGTGTGTGTAACCAACACACAAATAATGCAACATGGTAAGTAAAACCACCTTTCTTTTAAAATTATATAGCAAATCTAGAATTTATCTTGGTGCCAAAGTATGAGAAATTCCTAGAAATTTCTGAAAAGGATTAAAAGACAGCAGTGAATAAGGGGCAGGAAAGTAGAGGACCTGGTCCTGCCAAATTATAACCCTAATGATAGTAATTAACCCAAACAGTGCCTACAAATAGAGAAACCCAAGCTATTCCTTAGGAACCTGAGGCCCAAGGACAGGTGGCATTCTAGGTCCCTGGAGAAAAAAATGAATTACTCAGTAAATAGCATGAAAGCTACTGGCTAAATCTTTTCGTCAAAGATAGAAATCTGATGTGAATGAATGCGGTAGGGAGCCACTTCTTTTTCTAAGTATGGCAGGGGAAAAAAATCATATTTGAAAAATATTTTTGTAAACTTGAAACAAGAGCAGCCTTTTAAATAGAAGTTCTTGTTTTTTTCCCCTAATACATGACAATAAACATTTTACTAAGTAGCACTCCCCCTAATCCCATAGCTGAAACATCAAGGAATATCCTATTTAGGTTTTATGCTCCTATGAACATGTATTTATTGAACATGTTAATGGCACACTATACTCACTCTTCTAGAAAATTTGCTAGGTTTTTTCATTCAATAATTTCAAAACAATCTAACCGTGCATTAAATGGGTATGTCATCATTTAAGTAATCCAAAAGGAAATCAAAACCAAACCAACCACCAAGTTGATCCCACCTCACAGCAACCTTTTAAGACAAAGTAGAACTGCCCCGTTGGGTTTCTGAGGCTGTAAATCTTTACAGGAGCAGAAAGCCTCATCTTTCTCCTATCGGTTGACTAGTGGGTTCAAACTGCTGCCCTTGCAGTTGGCAACTCACTGCATAATCCACTACTAGGGCTCCTATATTTTTAGCCAGTCCTTTAATAAGGACCACTGAAGTTTTTAAATTTTAGCTCTCTAAATAATATTACAACCAAAATCCTTATGTTTTATTTTTGTCTTCATTTCCATACACACATCAGACCAAGTCAAATGTCTTGGTCAAGGAGAAAGTAACCGGACCAACTGATCGGGAGGGACTTGGAGGGGAAGAGGTAGAAGGGAGTGGTGAGCAAATGCCATAGACAGGGGAACAACTAGGGAATTAAAATCAACAATAAGAAGGGCATAGAGATCCTGGTGGTTTGGAACAACAGCAATCTAGCTGAGAGGAATTACTGAGAGGCAGAAGAAGGGTGAGCATGATGGCAGGAGGAAGGTAAAAGGAAACAGAAAAAGTCTAGGAAACAAAGCTATGGATAGAGATATAAACATAAGTGTGGACATATGTAAATACACTAATTCATAAAAATGGAGGTATTGACGTATGTACATATATTTATATGGCAATACACTGAAGTAGTGAATGGATTTTGGGCCTCTGCTCATGCACTGCCTCAGTGCAAAAACACTTTGTTCTAACAATCTGGCATTCTGAGATGCTCACCTTCCTGGCATGATCGATGAAGACAAGCAAATGTGGTGAAGAAAGCTGATGGTGCCTGGCTATCAAAAGATATAGCATCTGGGGTCTTAAAGGCTTGAAGCTTAACAAGTGACCATCTAACAGAGAAGCAACAAGCCAACATGGAAGAAGCACACCAGCCTGTGCAATCATAAGTTATCGGGATCAGAGACCCTACAGGGAAGCACACGGTTAGCTTTAAAGCAGAGTTACTTCCTGTTCCACAAACAACCCTCACATCCTTAAAGACTGATAATATTTGGAAGCTCGAGGGAGGGGGGATGTCCAATATGTTAGGGCAGGAGTGGACATTATGGGGGCGTTAAAATCCTCCACCGCGCCCTCCAGCACTGAGGATCAGAGGCCAGAGGGGGGCAGGCCAAACCACGGGGGCGGTGCTAGTGGCCACGGCGGGAGGGACAAAAAAAAAAAAAGTTATCGGGATCAGGTAACAGGCATCAGAAGACCCAAAACAAACAAGCAAATAAAACATTGAGAACGAGGGGGATGGAGCAGAGACCCAAAACTCATCTGTTGACAATGGGACATCCCCTCACAGAAGGATCACAAGGGAAGAGTCAACCCGGGAGCAATTTAGCACCAATGAAATATACAGTATTCCTCTGGTTCCTTGAGGCTTCCTCACCCCCCACTATCATGACCCAAGTACCGCCTTTAAGTTCTGGCTAGACTGGAGCGTGTACACTGGTACAGATAAAGAGATAAGAGCTTTCGACATACGGAATCCAGGAACATGAATGGGCGTAGCAATAGCAAGAGGGTACCTGGAAGAGGGGGAGAGGAAGGGAGGAAGGGGGAACCAATTGTAATGACCAACACATACCACCCCCACATCCCCAGGAGAACGAACAGAAACCATGGGTGACAGTGGTCAGTGTAAGATATGAATAATAATTTATAATTTATCAAGGGGTTGCAAGGGGGGAGGGAAAAAAGAAGATCTGATACTAAGGACTCAAATAAAAAATAAATATCTGGGAAATGATGGCAACATATGTACAAATATGCTTGATGCAACTGATGTATGGATTGTTATAAGAGCTGTAAGAGCCCCCAATAAAATTACCTTTTAAAAAAAAAGGAAAAATAAAATTTAAAATAACAACAACAAAAATTCCTTGGTCAATAAAAAAAAAAAAAAATTCCTTGGTCAAATGTTACACATACCTAAAACTTCTACATTTTCATCTGTGACTTTTGTAAGATTTTAATGGTGTAATCATATTTTAGTGCTTTGAAGCTTAAAAAGCAGCACAGTGGCACCGTAGGTCAGACAATGGACAGCCAGTTCAAACCCACTAGCCACTCTGCAGGAGAAATGAGACTGTTCCCAGAAGAGATTTAGTCTCAGAAACCTATCAGTTGGAACTGACTCAATGGCAGTGGGTTTATCATGCTTTAAAATGGCTTACCAGTATCAAATTATTAAAATGGACTTCTGAATTTTTGTACCAGCACAATTGAGATATAATTCACATACCACAAAATTCACCCTTGTAGCAGTTTTTAGTGTAACTCAAGACTTGTGCAACCATCACAGCCTTCTGATTCCAGAACGTTTTCGTCATTTCAAATTGAACCAGTCACGCTTCTCGCCTTGGCAACTAATCCACTTTGTCTCTATGGACATGCCTATTCTGAACTAAAGCCAAAAGCCAAACTCACTGCCCTTGAGTCAATTCTGCCTCATGGCAACCCTACAGGACAGAGTAGAACTGCCCCATCTCATTCTCCTGAGGAGTAACTGGTGTTTTAACTGCCAGGTTTCCAGTTAGCAGCCCGATGCATAACCCACAAGGGCTTCTCGATCCTGGACATTTCATATAAATAAAAGCATGCAATATATGGCCTATTGTATTTGGCTTCTTAGCACATTTTCAAACTTCATCCACATTGTTGCCTAGCTGTATTTAATTCCTTTTTATGGCCAAATAATATTCCACTGTACGGATCTACATTTATTTATCAGTTGATGGACACATCGATTGTTGCTACCTTTTGTCTATTGGGAACAATGCAACTGTTTACGTATTCACGTATACATTTTTGTTTCTAATTGGTTAAATTTTTAAACCACCTGAAACATTCTGTGACATGGGATCTATTTCTTTTCCTTTTAAAACAACTATTCTAATTATTTCTCTTTATCCTTAATGTCCTATAATCTTACTTCACAAAATTTAGTGTTTGTGCCTATGTTGAGTTTTAAACCTGATTTAAAAAATTGTCTTTCCAATTTGAAGACTCCTTTCTTCACTTCTAAAAAATGTTATTTCATCCTTTTTCTTCTATTCTGTTCTCTCACAATTAACAGATGAAGTTTTTAACTTCTAGACCTTCCTTAAAGTTAAATAAGTACTTAAAGACATTTGAAAGTGAATACAGCATCCTGAATTTCCATACCCTCCCTCAAATATTTCATAGTTGTCTTATATAAATACAATTCTGTTTTATTAGTGTGGGTTTTTCCCCTGTAACTCAGGGCTGTCTTAACCAAAAGGCCGCGTAGTAGTAATAACTCACTAATGTCATTAGAAAGCATTCAACTTAGTTTTCAAGGAAATAACTTTGTTCTTATAGGGCGCATTCTGCTCCTATAAAGATTTATAGCAACTCAAATGAGCGTACTCTGTCCTATAAGGTCACTATAAGTTGGGATTGACTCAACGTCAGTGGGTTTTATTTAATGAAATTATGAAGTTTTATAAGTAAGTTTCATCCAAGTCTGAAACCATTTTTAAAGGTATCTGGCAAAATGGAATTACAAGATAATGGAATTTTCCCACAAACTTTTAGAAACCCTATCATATAACTTGCTCACAATAAATGTCATCAACTGAAAGGTGCCCATGTGCTCAGCATTCCCATGGGGCTGCACGTGGGCTAATGATGTAAACGTCAGCTGAAGCACAATCTACTGTGCTGACGGTCCTATACACACTGCGGTATTAACCTGGACTTGGGTGTCTTTCATTGGATTGGCTTTCCTTTAGAAACTTGTCTAAAAATGATGTTCCTCATTCTCTCCAGATATTACAAGTAATTGTGTGGGGGTTGGGAATGCTATCCTACCTGTCTCCCATCAATTCCCTGGTTTTAGAATCTCAGCTTGAGAACATATTCTCACTGCTGATATGTGACGTGGCGGTCGATGCTCTCATGGTCCTTCTTCCAACTACTCAGGGAAATGAGACACCCTCAGTGTCGCCCCATTGTGCTGGGCTGCAAGAATAGGAGTATGAACCACCACTATTCTGAGAAAGATGAGTCTTTTTGCTTCCATAAAAAAATTACAGCAACCAACAGAAGCAGTTCTACTCTTATCTTATAAGGTCACTCCAAGGTGGGTTTGACCCAGTGGCAGTGGGTTTGGTCCAGTTTGTATTTAATCTTCCCTCTGCCATTGGAAGAGGCAATTTCCCTTTGGAATGCCCCTCTACTTTTTTGTCCATGGATTTGGTAGGAGGAAGATGAGGTTCTTAAGTCACCTTTCTCAACTCAGAACTGCTAGTTGTTACCAATAAACTCAAAAAACTAAACTCACTGCCATCCAGTAGGTGCCGAGTTTTCATTTTTCATAGTATTCCCAGAAACTCAAAGGGAAGTTGAGTTTTATTAACAGGCGTTTCAGTACTTACCAAGGTCCATCATTTTTTCTCATTCAGCCTATCACAATAAATGAAGGACATCACAGATAACAAAAAGTGAACTCTATGAAATCTACTTCTTCAGGTCATGCTAGTTTTATTACATGCTATATTCAATTTAGCCATTATAGTTGGCAATGTTACATCTACATAAGAGGCTTCAAAAAATTCATGAAAAAAATCCCATGGTCTTTTAATAATCTTTGCACAATTTTTTTGAAGTCCCCTTGAATTTACAAGTTAATTCTTGTTTGTGGGTAAATTTTTACTGTTTCAGGTTTAACTATCATAGTTCTGTTAACCTTGTAAGTTGGGAAAATTTTCTTTCTCTAGTTCTAGGACAGTATAGATAACGTGTTTTTGTTTTTTAGCATTTGCTAGAACTCTGTAACTGTCTTTTTGTGGGAGAAAACTTTTCATATATATACTTAATGATTGTTCAACTACCAGGAAGTATGCCTACAAACTCCCTTAGAAAATTTGATATAGCCATCTAGCTATAGCTAGCTATACAAATGCATAGACACAAGTACATACATATACTCATCTTTGTAAATGTGTATATGCATAGATAGATATTTATTAAGTAGCATTCTGTTTTTCAACTTGCTTTTTAAGATTTCAGTAGACATATTTTAATATCAAAATAAAGGTCTAATGTATTCTTTAACAGCTGCACAGCATACCATTGCTTGGATATTCTATAGTTTATAGTTCGACAGAAATACTCATTTTTGGTTGTTTCCAGGTTTGTTTTTACTATCATAAAGAATATTACAATGAACACTCCTGTTTAAATATATCTGTACTGATTTATAACTAAATAAATTTTAAGAAGGAAGATAGGTGAAATATTTTGTCCTCAAAAAAAAAGAAGTATACTGATATACTTCATTGGGGAGATTTTGACAAGAACAAATTTTCTAAACCATGACATAAAAACTAGAAGCCATAAAATAAAGGCAAAATTTTACTATGAAAAAGTTAACATTTTTCATACATTTCAAAAATACAAAATATGTTTTACCTGTTGGAAATGGAAGAAGTCAATTCTCCTAACATTTATAATTAACAGTTAACTTAAAATATTTTTAATTAAAATGATACTTGGTCTAAATAACAATAAGAACTAGTGTATATATGCTATTTGTTGCAATATTGTTAAGATGATGTGCAGTGTCTCCTATATATGGAACGTGTAAATATATACAGTATGTTTCTTGAAAGAAAAGGAAAAAAATCCCTCCAGATTCCTTCTCCCTCAAACCTAAAGAGTAGCCTGAGTGGCTCAAAGGAAAAGTAAGACTGAAATGGACTTGAATTCTTTACTGAAAAACAAGTTCATATTAAACCAAAAAAGGAGATTCTCAGAGAGCAAATAAAATATAAACAATCCAGTAGAAAGATAGGCAAGAGGAAAACATACAGAAACAAAGTGACCATTACATTGGGAAAAAGATGTTCCAGCTGAAACGTAAAAACCCAAATTGAAATAAAGAACTCTTGCAATCTGTTAAGACTAATACGGTATAAACTGATTCAACTTTTTGGAAGGTAATTTGACAATTCTCTTAAAATTTCAAGTACAACTAATCTTTCACCAGCAATTCCACTACCAGGACTTTAACTTCTGGAATCTTTGAGTATGAAGAAATAATTTCATTCCAGTCAAAATGATGATGTTCTCTCAGCTTGGCACTGCTTTTCTGCTGCAAATTTTCAGAGTAATTAAAATGCCCTGAAGCAAGCAAACGAAAAAAGGAAAAAAAAAAAGATAGAATTTCATTGTGCCACTATTCATAGAAGAAAATATCTGGAAGCAACACAAGTGCTCCATCAATGGGGGATTAATTAAATAAGCTATGGGGCATCTACAAAATGCAGCAATAAAAAGGCTTCAAGAATGTCTAACTGCTTCCGTGAAATCCATGTGTGGAGAGCAAAGAAAAGGGCTCTTCCAGCAAGAACAATGATGCAAGTGGGGGCTGAGGCTGGGGGAGAATAAAGGAAGAGGGCATACCAGAAAGGCAGCTTGACAGCTGTTCATCATTCACTGAAGATGCTTTTTGATTGTTCTTCCCACCTCCCACTTGATTTTCTAGTTTGAGTCCACCACACATCAGGGGCGCCTCCAGTGGACTTTTACAGTAAGGGTGGTCCAGCAACTTAGAACTAAGAATGTTCTGGTTGAGAGTGCCATCCTCTTCCATCTGGTATGCACGCTCTTTTTGCACAGTCTCTTCAGACACAGGCCCATCCACGGCCCCCGCAGGCTGATCTGGCCCAGGCACGGGCAGTTTCATGCTGTCATCTCTACTGTTACTCGTCCGACTGTCCAGACCCAGAGTCAGTGTTTCTCTTTCTGTTTCTGAGATGAACATGTTACTAGAGTGATGTTCCGGCAAAGGGATGTCATGAATCAGCTCTGCATGCTCCCACTTAGGAGTGGAAGAAGACGACTGGTCCCATGTGTACGTGGCACTGCCGTTCTGTTGGTCAGGGAATGCTTCACCTAAACTCAGCTCCTTGCCCAAGAAAGGGCTTCCTCTAGCGTGACCATCAGGTGTATGAGAGTTCGTTTCCTTCGCCACAGCATCGCTGTCCATATCTGGGAAGTCTGGCTGATGACGACAAGAAGAGTCTTTAGGTTCTGAGGAAGAAAATGGGCTGCAACTGACACCCTCACAGCTCTCTCTAAAAGCCTCTTGATAGTCCCCGGTGACCTTCTGTACCCAGCTGCGCTGAGATTTTTTCTGTTTGCAAATTTTGCTTTTTGTTCGTAAGTGCTGGGATCTGAGAATTCTGTACCGAAATCTAACCATGGACGATTTCTCATACATCATAAGAGGAGATACTTTTATTCTTCTATGGCGGTTAAGGTGGAACTTTTTTGGAATCAGGAGTCCCCCATTTCGGTGATGCTCCAGCCCTTGGTAGCAGCCATAACAAAAGCGCTTTCTCTTATGGTTACTCAAGGTCACCACAATTGTGCCACTCTCACCTGGATTTTGACTCTCCTCATTGAACTTCATGGGAAACTCAGAAGCGGGTGGATCTGTCCTAGGTCTGTGCCCACTGGTCTGACCTACAACACTATTTGCTGGTAAGTCAGCAACTGCCTTCACAAGACTTTTCCCTCCACTGCACTCATGGTCAGAGTTCTCTGCTAAATACAGCAACTTTTCTGGCTGGCGCTCCAGAGGGGTCCTTGAGGAGGAAAGGAATGGTTTCGGGTCCTTTCTTTTCACTTTAGGAGGAAAATCACTAACATTGTGAGCAGCCGCATTTGACTTGGTCTTAGCAAAAAGGGCTTCATCCTGGATCCGCGTTTTCTGGATTTGCAGGAACTTCTTTCTGCACTGGAAATACCTTGACTGTCTGCTCCAAGTAACTGGCCTTCCCAGGTTAGCTTTCAGAATGCACAAGTGTTGATGGAAGTAGAATTTCTTAAAGCTTCCAAAGCCAGCATTCCATTTCTCAGAAAAGGCTAAGTGGATTCCTTTCCTCCATAAAAGTTTCCTCTGTTTTTTCATTTTTCTGATGCATAATGAGATCCGGATGTAGCTCTAGAGAAGAGAAAGAAGAGTTGTATTTGAATGCTGAAAACGGGGTTATAAAGACATATCACAGTAATACAAGGTAGAAAAATGTTTAAAGAGTACCAAATCAACTGCTATCAAGTCAATTCTGACTCACAGTGACCCTATAGGACAGAGAACTGGTCCTTGGGTTTCCAAGGCTATAACTCTGTATGGGAGTAAAGGGCCTCATATTTCTCTCCAGGAGCAGCTGGTGGTTTCCAACTGCTGCCCGTAGTTAGCAGAGCAGTCCAGCACATAGTCCATTGTGCCACGAGGCCTCGGACACTTCAATTTAGCCGGTCAGGTATAATGAACATCCTAACTGATCAAGGTTTGTCTTACAGTGTAAGTTGGAGCTGGGAGAAGACATGAATACTCTTCAACAAGACCCCATGTGCTGTACCTGCTGCGGACAGAAAGAAGTTTCAGGAAGCATTGCCCAGCACGCATTGTTTCTAATACAGTACACAGAATAGAAAAAGTCAGAAGAGAGTTTTAAGTGTTGGCCCTGTTTCTCACTCGCTCTAAAGAACCTTAAGCTCTAAAGTCACCTAAATTCTGTGTTCTCATTTTTAAAATGAAGGACAAGGAAGGGAGAGGAAACCAGGTACTATATAAAACCAAATCCATATCCATGTAATTATACTTGCCCATATGAAAACAATTTGTTTTACACAGAAGATTTTGAAAATGTGGTATGAGTATCTGAAGAGATGAAAACCGGCCTCCTCTTTGCCATTCATTCCATTGAAGACTTTCTGATTGTCTAAGAGAAGATAGAACTCCACTAGATGCTTCGTCTAGTTAAAGCCTGGCTTTCAAGAGGATAATGTATGACCAAAAAAAAACTGAAACAAGCACAGATGCATAAAGTCCATGAACACGATGGGAAATGGCAGATGACAATGAATGGTCAAAATCAAATATGATTTCCTCGAAGGAATTGACAAGATCTAATACTATGGTTGGCTCTTAAGCTAGAAGGAAACATACAAGTAACTGCAGGTGGAAGAGAAGAAATACTAGACAACAAATCAGAAAAATTATTAATTTCAGCTTCCTGGCAACTAAGAAAAGTTGTATTATCTTTCTTTGTATTTCTACTTATTTTTAGTTTTTCCCCTCTACAATAAGACAAAACAAAAATGGAGGAATAAGCACCTATTTATCTTAGCTCCTGTTTCCCAATCCCATTAAAATAACAATGAGACTTTCAAAAAGACAAAGACACTCAAGAGCAGCGACAGGAAATGAATAGAAAACAGCAATAAAAATCCCTAAAGGGGCCTCAGGAGAAAACCCGGCAATCTTCTATGGAAAGCAGGTGCACTCTGACACACACGGGGTCACCAGGAGTCAGAATCAACTCCACAGCAACTGACAAGCCCTAGATCTCTGCTGGCAGATAACCAGTGTCCCTCTCTGAAAAGGATAACAAGATAGTCGGACACACCATGCACAGAGGGCAGAAGTATGGTAGGAGGATAAATGAGATTGTACAGTGACTATCCTCCCCACTCAGCTCAAAGAACAATGGTTGTGACAAAGCCACCCACTGCCATCCAGTCAACTGCAACTCAGAGACCGCACGTAGGGTTTCTGAGACTGGAAATCTTTACAAAAGCTCATGGTCTCATCTTTCTCCTGCGGAGCAACTGGTGGGAAAAGGGGGAAGTGTGTATGATTAGGGGGAAATAACCAACTGTGGTTTACAGTGAAACCATTACCCAAGAGCGTGTTATAAGTTTCCATCAAGTTGACTTCAAATTCTACTTACTCACATTATGCACGTGCATAGCACAGCTACCCCACAGGGTTTCAAGGCTGTGATCCCTGCTAAGCAGATCACCAAGCCAGTCTTCCAAAGCACCTATGGGTAGGTTTGAACCACCAATCTCTTAGATAGTAGTTAGGGGGTTAGCCATTTAAGTTGCCCAGGAGCTCCTAGAATACTGGTGGTAGTGGGTGCCAACAGTCAATTCTATCTCCCCACAGGACAAAACAGATCTAACTGGCTCATCGGTTTTCCAAGGCTGCAGTCTTCATGAAAGCAGACTGACACAGCTTTGTCCCATGTAGCAGCTAGTGGGTTCAACTGCCAACCTTCGGTGAGCAGCTAAGCACATAACCACTATACAGCCCAGGGACTCTAGCACACTAATAGTCTACTCCCAAGCAAGAGATCTGTCCCTGGGGAGACTAAACATGCCAACATATATTTTATGTTTTGTTTTTAAATGAAAAATTAAATGAAATAGCTCTAATGGGGCATTGATGGCAGTAAGCTGCCCATCTGCCAATATGGTGTGGAAAGGATAAATGAACAGCTTCAGGAAAAGTAACAAAAGTAATATACCTTTATTTAATTCACAGTTTCATATTAGATGTCAGCATATTGGTCATTTCTATGAGAAGGACCTGCCGACACACACACATCTGCTGGCAACAAATATAAAGCCCTGCTGAATGTTAAATGGGTAGATTAAATTTTAATTTAATTTTAATTAAAAGCCATCTCCACATGTGGTCTCTCTCTTATTTCTGAACTCTGTTCCCAGCCATGCTGCAGTATTCAAGTTCAACAAACACCAATAGTCTTTTAGAGATAAAACACACATGGGGAATAGATAGGAGCTTTCAAGTCTGTAAGATTCTCACTGACCACAGAACAGCCCTAGACTAACCAGCCCTTAACCCACCATATCAAAGCCACGGCTGATAAGTTAACTCCAACTCACAGCTCGCTGACAGGACAGAGCAGAAGTGGCAAACAGGGTTCCAAGACTGTCATCTTCCTAAAAGCAGACTGTCACTCTTTCTCTCAATGAAATGGGTTCAAACCACTGACGTTTGGTTAACAGAAGAGTACTAACCACTTAACCAGTGTGCCACTACATCTTCAACCAGTCCTTAAAGGTACCCAATATCGGGGTGATAGCTTACAGCACACAAGTGTACAGGTTAAGTCAAGCATCACTATTTTAAAAGTCCTTGCTCCTAGAAGTCATCAGATTCTGATGACAATAGATGCTCAGTAGGGCAAGGTTAACTCAGAAAAATAAAAATGAATAGTCCGTAGAAAGAAGATTGAAAATTACTGTCTAGAAGCATCATGGTGGCAATTAACATACTAAACTTTTTTTTTACACACTAACTTTTGACAAGCGATTTACACACTAACAGAAAGGCTCGAGGTTCCAGCTCACACAGGGGTTCCATGAAAGAAAGCCCTGGAGATCTGCTTCTGAAAATCAGCCACTGAAAACCCAATGGAGAGAGGCAAATCCAAACCACAATGAAATGCTATTTCAGTCCCACTTGGATAGCTAAGATTTAAGAAATACAGACAACAGAAAAGTGGATTAAGGGAGACATTGGACAGTGTAAGATATGACAAAATAATAATAATTTATCAATTATCAAGGGTTCATGGGAGGGAGGGGGAAAATGAGGAGCTGATATCAAGGGCTCAAGTAGAAAGCAAATGTTTTGAGAATGAGGAGAGCAACAAATGTACAATTGTGCTTGGCACAATGGATGGATGTATGGATTGTGATAAGAGTTGTACAAGCCTCCAATAAAATTATTTTTAAAAAGATTTAAGAAATGAAAAATAAAAATTGTTGATGAGGATTAGGGGGAAACTGGAACCTTTATCCATTGCTAATAGGAATGTAAAATAAGAGTCCCTGAAGAAAACAATGTGGTGGTATACCAAAAAAAAAATTATATATATATATAATTATGACCCAGGGATTCCACTGCTAGGAATATACCCAAAGGACTTAAAAGCAGCAACACAAACAGATGTATATTCGCCAGCGTTCCTCATAGCGCTATTTATACCATCCAAATGGTGGAAACAAGCTAGGTGCCCACCAGTGGATGAACAGGTAAACAAAATGTGGTAGGAACAAGCAATGGAACACCTCACCCAGGTAGGAATGATGAAGGCTTGTTGGTACATGCAACACCATGGATGTTGCTTAAAAACATTATGCTGAGTGAGGTAAGTTAACCAAAAAAGGGAAAATGTTACATGAACTCACTTACACAGAATGACAAGAGCAGGCAAACGTATACAGATGAAAGTTTATTAGTAGTTACCAGGGGAGATACCAATAGACAATATCATGCTAAATGGAGGAAAGGTTGAAGTTGCCAAGGATTTTGTTGTACTAAGATCCACAATCAATGCTCACGGAAGCAGTAGTCAAGAGATCAGAGGACATATTGCATTAGGTAAATGTGCTGCACAGACCTCTTCAGAGTAGTGAAGAGCAAGGATGTTACTTTGAGGACTAAGGTACGCCTGACCCGAGCCGTGGTATTTTCTATTGCCATCACATGCAGGTGAAAATCGGACACTGAATAAGGAGACCGTAGAAGAATCGATGCTTTTGAATTGTGGTGCTGGAAAAGAACACTGAAAGTACCATGCACTGCTGAAAGGGCAGACCACTCTGTACTGGAAGAAATAAGGCTTGAGTATAAGAAGGATAGCAAGACTTCATCTTACATACTCTGGACTTATTGTCAGGAGAGACCAGTCCCCTGGTGAAGAACATCATGTTTGGTAAAGTGGAAGAGAGTCGAAAAGGGGAAGGCCCTTGATGAGATGGCCTGCAGCATCCCTGGGTTCAGGCATAGGAGCAATCGTGAGGATAGGGCAGGACCGGGCAGTGTTTCTTGCTGCTGTGCACAGGGTTACTATGAGTCAAGCCAACTTGATGGCGCCTAACAACAATGGGGTGGGAGGGATTACTGCTTATGAAGCACTGGGTTTATGTTTGTGGTAATCACATAGACGGAGGATAATGGTTGCACAACCAAGGTAACTGATGTCAATAAATTGTACACTTGTAGAAGGTTTGACAAATAAAAAGTTTAGGGAAAACAAAATTTACGTTAACAATGGAGGAACAATTCAAAGAAGGAGGGTAAGAATGGTTATATAACTTGAAGAATATAATCAATTCACTGAA